TTCCTAAATGAACGTTTGTTAAGGTCTAGACTACTTTAGCCTGAAACGACAACAAAAAGATGTCAACATTTAAAATTGACCTTGTTCCACACGACATAAACGTCAAGGTTAGCTATCAACACAGTCATGAATCGGCCCCACGTCATCAACTACTCATTCTCACCACAGCTGTGATTAATGATATTGTCATTTTACAGTGCGCGCGGTCACGACCTGCAGTCCTGTGAATAATTACAGGAAATAAGTTAAACGATGAGGATACCCTTGGATGGTCACATTTAATGCAAACAATGTGTTGCAACACCTGCCGAACACAATGACGGCACTTCCTCCACGCTGAATCCTCTGGTTTCTTTCAAGGCGCTAAAGAGGGTTTTATCTTTGTGAATGGCTTTATGGAACTTCCTGTTTAATTGTCGGCACGTTTCTCCCAAACGCCTTACCTTGGACGATAAGCATCTGTGTTATAGATCGAGACATTTCAGATGTCTGTTGTGGCTTCAGAGGTGGTCTGAAGGAAAAGATGGACAGGTAGGGGTTGGAAAAGCACAGCGCTGGTGTGTTTTAGCACACTTGCACAGATGTCCCACATGTGAATGGCTTTGATGACCCTGATTTCATCCCGGGCTTTCATGATGTCAGCGGGGCTGTAGAAAGATTCCTTTCCTTTAAGGCAACTTGGCAGGATGTGTAAAGAAAGGCCGAAAGACAACACCGAGATTAAGCTGCTTTTGTCATGGTTCTGTGGCAGACTTTAAAGGCTTTGGCTCCGGTCCCATCTCACAGACACTTTTTTTTTTGGTCCCTCCTCTCGCTCTCTGCATCTTTTTATTTTTGTACGCAAGGTAAACATTTAAGGAGAACCACTGGCAACCAGAGCGGGTGTGTTTTTTTTTTTTTTCTTCACTCTTTCAAATGGCAGCTTTTTTGTTGAGCGAGCCATTATGACTGTTTGAAAAAAGGAGGAAAGCAAACAGATAGTTCATTCTTTGAAAGAAACAGCCAGGTATTCCCAGGTGTTGGTCTTATAGACACTCACGGTTTCTGTGCCTCATTGAAGACGCTCACTCGTCGCTATACATGAAGAACTGCAAGAGCAGAATGAAGCTATTGAGAGGCAGCGGTAGTGCTTTCAAATCTGTGTGGTATTTCAGCTTCCTGATTACGCCAAATCCTTCCTGATCTTATACATACAAATGCTTCATTTGTAATGGAGAATTTTTTTTTAAATTATATTATTACACTAATATATAATGCATTTAAAATAATTCATAAGACTTTATAATAATCTTTCAATAATATAAAAAAATATTGTAAAATTTACAGTAACGTAATGGCAATTTAGGTTGTCGATAAGGCTATAAATTAACAAAAGTACTGTGAATCATCAACTACTACTGTAAATCACACAGCACAACTGTGAAAACAGCAAAACAAGAGCCACTTAATGCATTTACAGTATGTTACTGTAATAATACCATGCAGTTAATGTATTTCATTTAAGGAAAGCCATTGTCTTAAATTAGCCAATTGCCATTTAATTAAAAAAAACTAATATTTATGCTGTTAATAATGTGATTATAATTGTACTGTGAATTAATTTCATTTGAGTCCACTAAAACAGAATATTTTTAAAAATAAAATTAACAACTGAATTAACTAAAAACACTGATTTAACTCTAACAACAGCACTCATGCATGCAATAATGAAATTAGCAAAGAACATTCACAATTTATCAGAAACTCCAGTTTCTGCCTTTGCATAAAGCAACATGCAGCATAACATCAATGACTCATCCTTGACTTAAACACAGACTCTTCAGCTCTACTCTGCTGTAACTCCCAAAACACAGACAACAGAAACCCTATTAAATCCCAACACAACAGAACATGAAACACTAACAGATCTCCCAAACTTTCTTGTGCAAAAACACATTAAATACTTAACACTTCAGTTTAACATTTACTCCACTGAGCTGTCTTTGAGTTTGCATAGCATTTTTTTTCTACTAAGTGCAATAAGCTTCCACTAATATTTGAGTGAAATTAACTTTAATCTTTTTAGTAATCTTTAGTTTTGTTTTTAATCTTTAGTTTAATCTTTAGTATACATTACTTTATTTTCCTGATTTTACAGTAAACTACAGTATACTGACTGGCAGTCACAGCCTTAGATGAAATCAACTGCAAATAAAAGAACACTAAATTATTCATTAAAATATTGTGCACAAAACGTTTTGAGGTGTATAATTACATAATTTAAACACACAGAGAGTTCATTGATCAGCATATTAATTTCAATAATCGTGACATAAAAAAAAGTAAAATAAATACAATAAAATAATAAACAACTAATGACCATAATGTTGACAAACAAAGCATTTTCAATTAAACGTCAGCATCATTTAGAGCTATAGGCTACTCAAATATACACTACCGTTCAAAAGTTTAGGGTCATTTTTTTTTTTTTTTGAAAGAAATGAATGGGCTACTTTAATCAGCAAGGACACATGTAATTGATCAAAAGTGACAGCAAAGACATTTATGATGTTACACTGAAATTAAGTTCCAAAAAACATAAAAAATATTAAGCAGCACAACGGTTTTTCAACATTGATAATAATAAGAAATGTTTATTAAGCATTAAATCAGCATATCAGAAATATATTAGAATATCAGATCGGTCATGTGGCAATGAAGACTGGAGAAATGATGCTGAAAATTCAGCTTTGCCATAACAAGAATAAATTACATTTTAAAATATAGGCCTATTAAAATATAAAAAGTTATAAATAGTAATAATATTTCACAATAATACTGTTTTCCTTTATTTGTGATAAAATAAATGCAGTTGTGGTAAGCCCTCAAACTTTGGAACAGTAGTGTACATAATTACATTATTGAAGTGTACAATGTATTTAATTTTTTGTGTGTGTGTAGTATTGTGTAAAATTTTATAATAATTCATACATTTTAATAATGTATTTCTATGCAGTAAGTTTAGGTATAACTGTTTTGGGTAGAAAATATAATCTTAGGCAGCAAGTGAAGAGTCAGCTCTTGAATTTAATGTGTTGAAAGCAGGAAAAATGGGCAAGCAAAAAGGCATAAATAATTTAGACAAGAGCCAAATGGTGATGGACAGATGACTCGATCAACTCGATCGTCGATCAAAATGGCAAGTGTTTAGTGTGTAGTGGTTGATATCAGGATCGAGGAAGGACAGCTGGAGTCAGGGTCATGGGCACCCATGACTAGCGAAGGCTAGCCCGTCTGTCCCAATCACACAGAAGAGCTACTGTAGCTCAAATGGCTGAAATACTGAACTCTGGCCATGATAAAAAGGTGTCAGAACACACAGTGCATCACAGTTTGCCGCGTAGTCGCAGACCAGTTAGAGTGCCCATGATGAACCATCCACCACCGTAAGTATCTACAATGGACATGTGAGAGTCATAACTGGACAACTGGTCTGATGAATCACATTTTTTTTTTAGATCAGGCAGATGGCTGGGTGTGTGTGTTTACCTGTGGAAAAATGGCAAAGGCCGTGTTACGCTCTGGGCAATGTTCTGCTAGGAAAACCTGGGTCCAGTAATTAATCTAGAAGCAGCTTTGACTCATACCACCTAAAGGTTTTTACAGACCATGTACGTCCCTTAATGCCAATGGTGTTTCCTGATGTTCCCTACAGTGGCCTCTTTCAGCAGAAGATGGACCCTGCCATGAATTGTTCAGGAACAGTTTGAGGTGTTGCCTTGGCCTCCAAATTCCCCAGATCTCACTCCGACTGAGCATCTATGGGATGTGCTGGACAAACAAATTCAATCCATGAAGAACCCACCTTGCAACTTGCAAGACTTAAAGGATTAGTTAATTTCCAGAAGGAAAATTTCCTGATAATTTACTCACCCCCATGTCATCCAAGATGTTCATGTCTTTCTTTCTTCAGTCGAAAAGAAATCAAGGTTTTTGAGGAAAACATTCCAGGATTTTTCTCCATATAGTGGACTTGAAGAGTTGAAGGTCCAAATTGCAGTTTCAGTGCAGCTTCAAAGGGCTTTACACGATCCCAGCCGAGGAACAAGGGTCTTATCTAGCGAAACAATCGTTCATTTACTAAAAAAAATTAAAATGTATATACTTTTTAACCACAAATGCTCATCTTGCACTAACTCGACTTCACGCATTATGTAATCACGTTGGAAACGTCACACATGGTTAGCGCTTCGTCTGTGTTCTTCAGTTCAAAAAGGTTGGGTAGGGTGAAAAACTCATCTTCAAAATCATCTGAAGTCATTGTTTTACCTGTTTTTTTAAAGGGCATTTGACTTTCTTTGCACGTTCGCATTTGAAAACACTGGGTTGGTACTTCCGCCTACGTTACGTGCAAACTTTCCAACGTGACTACGTAATGCGTGAAGTCGAGTATATACAAAAAGTATATACATTTGTATTTTTTAGAAAATGACCGATCGTTTGCTAGATAAGACCCTTATTCCTCGGCTGGGATCATGTAGAGCCCTTTGAAGCTGCATTGAAACTGCAGTTTGGACCTTCAACCCACTGGATCCCATTGAAGTCCACTATATAGAGAAAAATCCTGGAAAATTTTCCTCAAAAACCTTAATTTCTTTTCGACTGAAGATCCTTTTAAGGATCTGCTGCTAATCTCCACAGAAAGCACAGGACATGTTCAGAGGTCATGTGGAGTCATTCCCTCAACACAGGTAGCACCTACACAATATTAGGCTGGTGGTTTTAATGTTGTGGTTGTTGGGGTCAGTGTGATTTAATATAGTTGTCAGGAAAATAGGCATAGATTGGAAATTTGTTATTTTTAAGGTTCTAATAATATTTTGTTACTTCAGGCAGTACGTATAAAATTGGACAAATTTAATGGTATTCCAAATAAAGATACAAGTTGTTAAATTTGTAACAGCTGATATTTTGAAGACTTTCAAAGCAAATGACACACTCAACACATTTTCATACCTGGTGAACAAGAGCTTTATCATTTTATGATAATTATAAAATGATTTTAATGTTTCAATGTGACAAACATATTTTTTTTTAACATAAAAACAGGCCAGACTGTACAAGATTGTCCATACAGAGATAACTACTTAGGACCGTTGTGTTATTTTTTTCAACAGCACATAACTATTTAACACTTGATATATGCTACATAGCTTACACTGCAGCTAAGGGAAGACAATGCTATGCATACTCGTATTTGGTTTAAAACATCTAGATAATGCCCAATTCAAAGCATCAAAACATTGCTTACAAATAAATTACCTATTTTAGAATCACTAAAGTTTTACAAGGTTTGGCTGGCTTTCTTAAACTAACAGGGGCAATGAATTTCAAAGAATGTTATGCTGAAGTAGCTAGCAGATGTCTGGGATAAGTGCATTCCTGTATTCCCGCAGTCCTTTCAGCATCAACCTTTTACCATGAACATCACGGTAAACACATGCACGGACAATGAGTTTCAGTCTAACGTTTGTTTTTGAAACTCTGACTCACTTCTGTAAATATTAAAGGGGAGCCATTACATGAGCAGTCAAAGGCATTTTACACAGTCTTCAATATAGTGGTCAAGCTTATGAAACTACAACTCCCCTTTCACAAAAAATGAAAAAAAAACAAAAAAAAAAACAAGGCCATAGAGGAACTATGGGATTGCGGTACCTCAGGTTATTCAGAGTAGGCCCTGAAAATAAAAGCACAAAGTTAATGAACCCTCGCCAGTACGTACAATGCCAAAATCTCATCATATCTTTAGTTACGATATAACCAGAGCTCAAGGATATTCTATTTTTCCATTAAAGAAACAGTTAGAAAACTAGACTGAACCTACACCATTTCTTAAATTTGAAACATGGTACACCATACCTGCAAAAACAACACGAACATACGCTCTCATGCATTCAATCGGTCTTAAAAGATATAAACTGTTACAGGAAATATACTGTAACTGGATCTCTCAATATCTGCAAACAATTTTCTTATGCATGCAAACGAACGATTCACTGAGATTTGGTGCTAATCCAAAAAATATTTTTGGCCCCATCCACAAGATTAGTCAATGGGCTTCTGAAAAAATCGTATTAAAATACCGTAGCATCAGTTCGTGGCTGAATCGCAGATTGAAGAGACAATACATTTGTGTCTTTTGTCCCATACAAATCTGCAAAAGTGTTTGCTCTGCCAGCAGTGTTTCTGTGAAAGATTTCTCCATTTCAAAACAGACTCAAATATCATCATTTGTTCGCTAGCCTTGCCCTTTTCCACCCCACTGCTCATAATGTCTTTATGCTTGCGGTATTCAGAGCGAGGGACTGTTTAGACTGCAACAACGTGGCTCAATTGTCTTTCCGTTCTCTAGGTTTTGAGCAGAAATGTTTGTTTGAGGAAGCCCTTGCCCATTCTGAAGGCCAAAACGCTGCCCTATTTTGGTGACAAAATGTTGGGTCAGAGACTGAAGAGATATGTGAAGAATGAACCAGTGGACTGTAAGTGTGAAGGCTAACATTGGTAGTGGATGTGTTGGTGCTGGTGAATTTTGCCGTCCACGTGCGAGTGAGTATGTGTGTGAATGTCTGAATAGATCTTTGGGTAGACTTTGGGAGCAGCTTGGGCCAGCAGAAGCTGTTGTTGTTGCTGCTGAGCCAAATACTCCTCGTAGGTGACGGAGCCGATGCAGTCTTTATCGGCAGCCGTGAGCGCCCGCTCTCTGGGCAGCTGCCGGTGGCCGTTGGGTAAGGTCTGGGCTGAGATTATGGCTCCTGAGGAACAGTGCTTTCTGGACTGGCAGAACCAGAGCAGGACGGTGCCCAGAATGAAGACCACTCCCGCCGGGATGCCAATGATGACGGGCCAGGGAAGGCTGGGAGGCAGAACAGACGGGATCGGGGAGAATGGCGGCTTTGGGTCTGGATAAGGACAGAGATGAGAAAACCACAATATAAAGAACAACAAAACTGACAGTTCGATTTAGCAGTGTCAGATTATCTGACATGGCTGAATTTCTTTGTAACGAGGAAGAGTATCACATGAGACATTTAGGCTGGACACATACTTAATTCATAAATTATTATGGTACTGTATGATGACATCATGACCATGAGCACATCAACACAACTGCCCACATCTACATGCTGATCCAGCATTGAGCACTTGCAGGAGTATGGACTACATCAGTATGCAAAGTAGGGGTGTGCAATATATATCGTCTGCGATAATATCGTAAAATTTGCTTGGTAACAGCCCAAATGTCTTATTATTCTAATTCCCTGATTAAATGTAAGAATTTGATTCAAAAGATAATGGACACTTTTAGAAAAAATGTCTCTATAAAGGTAAAAATGCACATAAAATGCAAAAATCAGTTTAAACTTATTGGAAAAGATTAATTTCTATCAGTATGAACTGACCACCACACAGAATATGAAGAATATTAAAAACATTAGGAGTCAGCTGTCTTCGGCAGTCCTTAAGGTACCAGCACAATAACACACTCAGCAAAATATCGTCTAATTATCGTTATCGATAAAATCCCATAAAATATCGAGATATAATTTTTTGTCAATATCGCACACCCCTAATGCAAAGGTTAGCCAATAATAACACAAATCATTTACATAATGTGCATTAGGACTGTAAATCAATTGAAAATTTAAGTTTAAACTAAGTGACAGATTTTTGTGATTAATTGTAGTCATACCTAACATTACCACTTTCGATCAAATTAATACTGAATCAAAATAAAGGAAAAATATTTTCAAAAATATATTGAATAATATTATTATTAATAATATTGAATAATATTCATACATAAATACTACACTCTAAAAAAATGCTGGGTTAAATACAGCCCAGCGTTGGGTAAAATACGGACAAACCCAGCGATTGGGTTGTTTTGACCCAGCATTTGGGTTACTACCCAGAAGGTTGGGTTAAACATTTAACCCAACCGCTGGGTCAAAAGAACCCAATCGCTGGGTTTGTCCATATTTTACCCAGTGCTGGGTTTTATTTAACCCAGCATTTTTTAGAGTGTACTATATTATTGCTAATATAAAATAAAATACAATATTTATTGTCTTTTAACCTAACTAAATCAAGGCCAGTATCGTCAATACGACATAAAAATAAAATAAAAATCGTACTTCAAGAAAACGTAAAAATGCTACTAAAATACATCACAGAGAATAATACTGACCAGGAAGAACAGTAAGGAAGGCACTGCGGAAGCTGTAGCCCATGGTATTGGCCCCAAGGCAGATGTACATGCCAGCGTCCTCCTCCTTGGCTCGAGTGATAAGTAGCTTGTTCAAATAGGAGCCGTCTGGTCGTGACCACACGTCACCCGTGGGCAACACAACGAAGCGATGGTCTCCGACCTCAATGGTGGAGTTGTATTTGTTCTCACCTCCTGGTTCGACCCTCTTTAGCCACTGGATAACCGGCTTGACATCACTGCGTACTTTACACTGGAAAGATGTGGTGCCACCGTAGTCTACTGTAGTGTTTACTGGATGAGTTCCTGTCAAGATGGGCTTGGAATTTGTGCGCTCTGTAATGAAATAAGGACAATTTTATTTACTAATCAGTATTTAACACAATTACGGGTCTATAATGCACAGATTGTTTTTCTATTTTGTGTCCTAAAATAGTTTTAGGCTATTTTGAGTAAGGAAAAAAATGTCACATATGACTCTACTGAGAGCAAGATTAATGAACTTCTTCCTGTTAGGATGTGCTTGTAAAGTTAGCAAATGCAGCGAATTAATTTGAAGCAGCAATAAAAACCGGGAGCAGCAAAATAATTTGCTTAAAATAAATTGGCTGCTATTAAACTGTATAATATGTGTGTGTGTATATATATATATATATATATATATATATATGAAGGGTTCATTTGCAAAAACAGATAACTCCGTTTTTAACAATTCTCTGAAAAAACATGATTTCTTTGTGCATTCCAATTAATCTTAATCAAACTGCAGTTGGGTTATTTTGATATATATATATATATATATATATATATATATACACATATATCAAAATTGTAAGAACAATATAGAATTAAATGATCAATTCCTTATCATGCATACATAATAATAAGCCATTAACTGATTGAGACAGTTTGGCTGGTGCTGCAGTGTGTTAGTGCTGCTAATAAAGAACGCTAACGCTGTTTGTTAGGAATGATTGGGTCCTAAACTCTGACAGCATGCCAGACAGCTGTTAATCCCCCTTGAACAGCATCCAGCAACGAGAGAAATAATGTTAAACTGTTGCTGCATGTTCATTCTTTCAGTCTACCCTATATAAGTGAATCATCAAAAGCTCCATCACATTCCAGGACAACATCAAAGAGACGAGGTGGATGACTCACGGATGACTTCCACTTTATAGGTGGCGTTGATCTCCCCGGCACGGTTGGACACATGACACGTGTATTTGCCGCTGTGTTCAGGTGTAAGATTCTTCAGACTGAGAGTCCACTTCTTCTTTCGGCCTTCGCCCACCTCCTCGGGCGTCAGAGGCCTGCTGTCTTTCAGCCAGACGATGTCAGGTCTGGGGTTGCCGCTGGCGGTGCACTTGAGCCTTACTGAGCTCCCCACTGGCCGGGCGATCACACGCTTTCTCATTTTGGCCGGCTGTGTGAAGCGGGGCCGCACTACAAAGAAAGACAAAAGGAAAGAAAAGGTTAGACAGCATCATTGCTTTTTGAAATACAGTACCTTAAAACCTGATTGGAACAGGTTTACAGCCTTCTTTAATAAGGCATTTAGATGTGAATGTGCAAGTCTGTGTCAAAAAATTATTTACACTACAGAAATGAAGGTGACTTGACATCTCAATGATGAGAATTAGGGGCAATGAGAACTGTTACGTCAAAAACATGGAAACCATGATATACTTGAATGTTCTTAAAAATGTTCTTAACTTTTCTCCATTTACATTTTATTTAGATTTTGGGGTGAAAGGTTAATTCATATTAGTTTAGTAGTGAAATAACAGTTCTATGACATTTGTCCAATTTAGATTTAATTTTGAAGTCTGAAACTAAATTTAAAATAACATGATCATGCTTGCTGCTTTTAAGAGCTTTACTAAATAAAAGGAGAAAGACGGAAGACTGATTCATCATCAGAATTTATACAACACCACTAACATTACAAAGAAAATAAAGCATAAAAGAGCGGACATGAAGTTCTTGTGTGGGCAAATTTACTGAGCAAAGCACCACACCATGAATGCAATCAGACAAAGCAAACAGCAGCTCCTCTGTAGTTTCATGCTGACTGTTACCGCTCACAGCAGACTCTGAACAAACACCATAAAATCAAATACAATAGTGAACTAAGCAACTCCCACTAGCAGTCATCATAACTGCTATGCAACACAGTACAAAAACAAGCAGGTCAGGCCCTCTTTGAACACCGCCGAGTTTAGCGGTACTCCGATATCAAATCAGAGGGCAGCTGTCGGAGGGGAATGGAATGCTTCCCCCCTCACACTTCACATAAATAGCCTGCTCTTTGGCTTGTCAAACACAATTACCAAAGCAAACACTGGGCTCCAGAGGTAGGAGTGTACGACTCCAGGGAGTAATGAGCAACAGGAAATATTGTGGGGACCGTCCAATCCCAGACCACAAGGCTACCTGTCAGTATCTGGGAAGATTCAGCCACATGTGTGCCGGCCTGGAGAAGGGGGTTTGATGGGAAAATAAAGGGGTGATCAACTGTACGTGCTGTCCAAACCCTCTGTGACAAGGCTCAGTTTCCATTGGCCACATGCTTTTCTATCAGGCCACACATCAAATGTAGATCACCAACACTCATCCAGCATACACCATGCTGTCATATTTTGTAAGACCGTGGCGCTTTGAGTACTATAATATACTACTGAGTACTATATCAAAACATCAGGGCTACTACGGTGCACTACAAAAAAACGGCAGTGCTGCGACAGGTATGCTACAAAAATGCCACTGCTACTATACTACAGAAAAATGGCAGAGCTGTTATGCTACAACAAATGTCACCGCTAATGTACAACAAAATGTCATCACTGCGATGCTACAACAAATGTCACCACAACTATACTACAACAAAACAGTAACGCTACTATGCTGCAAGTCATTTCACCACTACTATACTACAAATCAAAAGCACCACTAGGCCTGTCACGATAACAACTTTTTGTTGTGCGATATATTGCCCCAGAAATAATTGCGATAAGCGATATTATTGTCATTTTAAAGACCATTTTATGCCACTGAATATATAATCATAATGCAACAGCATAATAATGCAAGAAGGCCTACGCACTTACAACAAAATGTCATTGTTACTACACTACAACAAAACAGCAGCGATGCTATGCTACAACTGATGTCATCACTACTGTACTACAACAAAATTTCATTGTTACTATACTACAAAAAAAAAACAGCAGCGCTACTATGCTTCAATTGATGTAATCGCTACTATATTACAAACAAAAAAGCAGTACTGCTATGCTTAGGGTTGCCAACTTCAGAAAAGGAAAATAAGGAAAATAAGGGACAATCGTGGTTTTTCACACACACACCCACACACACACACACACACACAGGTATATCTTTTAGATTTGTAATTTTTTTTTAATGGAGTCTCTTATGCTCATTAATGTTGCATTTATTTGATAAAAAATACAGAAAAAATCAGTAATATTGTTAAATATTATTGCAATTTCTAATATTGGTTTCCTATATTTCTGTGACGCAGCACTTTTATTCAAAATAGAAATATTTTCAACAATATCACTTTTTATCCATTTAACACATCCTTGCTGAATAAAAGTATTCGAAAAGTTTCTTTAAAAAAAAAGAAGAAGAAAAAAAAGAAATTTACTGACCCCAAACCTTTTTTTTTTTTTTAACTGTTATTTCAAATTGCAGTAATATTTCACAAAATTACAGTTTTTTTTCTGTATTTTTGATCAAATAAATGCAGGCTTGATGAGCATAAAAACCTCTTTAAAAAACATAAAAATCTTACTGATCCAAAACTTTTGAACGGCAGTGTAAATATATATATATAGGCTATAGGCAATCTACCTCATGAACAGTTAAATGTTCTCCCATTGTGCAATAAAAATATGTGCAATAACCTTATACTATTTATCACGACACTAAAACAAATTCCTTGTATGTGCAAACATACTTGGCAATAAAGCTCTTTCTGTCTTCTGATATGTGCGTATGTAATATAGCCTACAGTAGGCCCATTGGTCATTTTGTGTTTTAAGAACGATATTCAAGGTTAAGAATACGCTGGAAGTTACTTAAATGTAAATTGTTTTATCTAGGTATACATTAGAGAAATACGACTTTCCTTACTGATCGCGTCTTCCCTCAGGTAAAATGCTCGTTTTCTTGCATGGCTGGATGTTGGAATCACGTTGTTTGCATTCGCTCTAACTGATTTGCTGAAGTCGAAACGCGGTCGTTAAAAAACCCAACTCCATTAGCGCGAGTCCCGCTCGCTGAGAAGCGGGAGCGACCAGCCGGCAGAGGATTCCGCTTGATCTTAAAGCCTCCCTGGAACGGCTATGTTCACAAATCAAACACTTGTCAAAAAATTCTCAATTTAGAATTTGTTATTTGTATGGTCTAGGTGTTCATACGGCATATGCCTTATACGGGACAAACTGCGTTCCGTATAGCTTTCATACGGAACGCTTCTTTGATGCCTTAAATACGGGACGATTCCGTATTATACGGAACGGTTGGCAACCCTAGCTATGCTACAACAAATGTCACCGCTGCTATACCACGACAAAATGGCTGCACTGCTATGCTACAACAATTGTCACCACTACTATACTACACCAAAACGGCTGCACTGCTATGCTACAATAAATATCACTGCATCTATAGTGATATAATTTAGCTGTTATGCTGCAACAAATTTCACCACTACTATACTACAAAACAGAAGCACCACTATGCTACAGCAAAATGGTGGTGTTGTTATGCTATAACAAATCAATACTACTATACTATAACAAAATGGCAGCACCAATATGCTACAAAAAATTTCACCACTACTGTACTACAACAAAACAACAGCGCTGCCATGCCATGCATAGCTGTAAAGCTACAACTAATATCACCGCAACTATACCTCAAAAAAAAACAGCAACATTGCTTTGCTACAACAAATGCCACCGCTACTATACTACGACAAAATTGCAGCATTGCTTTGCTACAGCAAATGCCATCGCTACTGTACTACAACAAAATTGCAGCATTGCTTTGCTACAACAAATGCCATCGCTACTGGACTACAACAAAATTGCAGCATTGCTTTGCTACAACAAATGCCATCGCTACTGGACTACAACAAAATTGCAGCATTGCTTTGCTACAGCAAATGCCACTGCTACTATACTACAACAAAATTGCAGCATTGCTTTGCTACAGCAAATTCCACCGCTACTGTACTACAACAAAATTGCAGCATTGCTTTGCTACAGCAAATGCCATCGCTACTATACTATATACTACAACAAAATTGCAGCATTGCTTTGCTACAGCAAATGCCATCGCTACTGTACTACAACAAAATTGCAGCATTGCTTTGCTACAACAAATGCCATCGGTACTGTACTACAACAAAACGGCAGCACCGCTATGCTACATTTAATATCCTAAGTTCTAGTTTTTTAATGTTCTTTAAATTCTAATACAATGTAAAACTAAAAGTTGCATTTCATGAAAAGCAGCTTATGAAACATCTTGGCAGCTGCAGCGCATATTTCAGTGACTTTCTGGGCAGCAATTATAAATACCAGGAATGAAGGAGATCAAAGGGGATCAGAGGACTGTAGCACCTTACCCAGTTTTCCCGTCAGGTCAGTGGAGTACTCGGTTTCACCAGCTGGTCTAGCACCTTCCCTCCTAGCACTGGAGTCATCTAGAGACAGAAAGATAGAGGGAGAATGGAGTATTTACATATCAAAACAACCACATGCTCTTCCGATAAATATGAGAATCAACTCTGAGATTGCCACACATACAGTATTTGTGTTCAATAGCATTACTATAATTCTTCGGCCAAATCACTGCAATCCTTCACCACCTAAACCAAAATGAACAACTGTCTCTTCATCAGCTGACTAGTAAGCAAACATGATACTGTAGCTGAGAGCTTTTAAATAAGGGATTGAGAGTGTCAGAATTAGGCCAGAAACATAGTTTAATCAAGTGCACAACAGTAGATGTTGCTATTGCATTGCAAGCATGCAGCCTAGATATACTGCGCTCTGGCATTACAAGGTTGGTAACAAACCTCAGGACTCAAGGGGGTGATAGAGTGTCCTTAAGATGTCTCTGTCAATAATCCGGACGTGTTCTTATTCATCATTTACTAGCTTTATAGCTTGTTTATACAAGACATTTCAAGACACAGCAACTTGCAGAATTCATGTTCAGATTCAAAGAGTATGTTTTAGGCCTAAAAGTGACTCACACAGTTTACAAATGTTAAAATTCACAAAGATTTACATACATTAACTAATAGGAAATAAAAGCCTTTTAAATGAACAATTACAAAAGCAGAAGATGTTACATCATATCTGAGGAAACAAAAGAGGATGATCTTTGAAAATTTAGAAAAGCCAAAAGGATTCTTGGTTTGTGCATTTGATGCAATTCACTAAGATCTTCACTCACAACTCAGCATTTATTGTGAAATACCGAACCTTCTAATCTGAGAAGATATGTTCAAAATTTAAGGCAAACATCTGAAGTCACGTGTGGTGAAGAGTGAAAACCATGCCTGGAAATCTGTGGCCCTTCTGCTCTAGTTACAGCCCCTGCTCATCCGTTCACCACATGACTGGCATTTTCAGGCCTGTCAGCTCTTTGAAGCTGTCGGCGGGGTGGTTTGATCTGAGAATGTACACAGTTTAACACTCCTGCAGGAGAGGTTCCAGTTCGGACAAAGGAAAACAGCTCATTGCTGGGCTAACAGCTTAATTACTATGGCTCATACCCTTCACTGAGCCCCTCAAGTATGGTCACTCTACACATAGCTCTTTTGTTCATGTCAGGCTCACGCTCATTGCAACCATCAAACATACATTTTCATTGGCACCTTAACAGCGGTTTTAGAATTACCCCTAGGTTTCTCATTTTAACATCATTTATAAATGTAGCTTGCGTGTCAAAAAAACGCTCCAGAACTTTCTTAACATATATAGCACTCTGTGAGCTCATAAAACATGCACACATACTTCAAGACTTCAAACTGACTATAAAGGTGTGAGGAAAAACCGAGTATGATTCATGGAAAGTCAACAAATCTTGGAAGGATGAGGGTTGTCAGGTTTCTAAACCAAACAAACTCCTGTTTCCCTTTCATTAAGGCGAAGTGACACCACAGCGTGCTGCATTTCACACATCGACCATCTAGGTACGTTCATAATTTCGAACAAGCTCAATATGACTGAGATGTTTGCATAACCCTTCAGTATGTTTGCTTTCATGTCTGCAGTGGAGACGGCAGTAGAAAACATGCCTTTTTCCGTAGGAAATCTGAGCACAAAGTTTCTGTTCCACTGGGTTTTCACCAGGTTTGTGGTCTTCTTCTTATAATGTTCATTGGTGAGGTTGCGGACCAGGTACCCTCTTTTGCTCCCTGGCAAGGCTGGGATTTTCTGTAGATTTTGGCCACTGGTCCCTCGCTAAGAATACGTCCAACTTGGCTGTGCCACGTCCGTCAGGGGCAGCAAAAACCCTCTGGTGATCAAGATTTATTGCACTTGAATGTTCTGCTTATGACCTCCAGTGCCGTCAAAATGGTTACATCGATGAAGTTGAACAATTACCTCATGTTTTTCTGGAAGCAAAGCAACCACCTTCGCTCAAAGCAAAACAGTGTTTCTGAACACAACATGCTAATTATGCTGTCATCCTTTACATCTATGGTGAAGTCGGCTATGAAACTGGAGATGGTTTGGAGACAATCCTCGTGAGTGAAACCTCAACAGGAGAGACAATATGGGGCTCTAGCTGTTAGCTGTTACCTTGGCTTTGATTTACTGAATTCCAGCACTGGCTTATGGAAACCATTACCAACTCTACTGCTACACAGCTCTATATTAACAGCCAGCTCTAAACTGTGAAAATTTATGGGCCGTGGTCACAGCAGAGACGTTACTACTTTACTGACTACAGACTAACCCGAGAATGAATAACACTAAGAAGTTGACAGATTAACTGCCTGCCGAGCATATTTATGTTTGATCGCACCAATGTATCTTTTGGCCACTGCATACTTGGGAATAGAAGAACCATGCTTGTGGATGTTTCACAATACGAAAAACTGTGACCTGGCCCAAACGTCACTATTTTTATATGAGTGAACCTTTTGAATGCCGTCAACATTTGCTCAACGTGATTTTTTTAATCTGAATGAATGTAGATGGCTGTATGATGGTTGCAGCATTTACACACCAAAACACTTAAAAGTCAACATGAAATCTAAATGTAATCCATTTACTTTCTTAATACACATACAATGTTTTATTTTGAATGTCTTTGCAATCCTGTTCTACTTGGAAATATGTAAATGTTGTCAAATTAGTTGTGAACTACACTACATATATATATACAGTGCCTTGCGAAAGTATTCAAAACCCCATCATTTTTTTCATGTTTTGTTATGTTGCAGCCTTATGCTAAACTGCTTTAAATGACTTTTTTTCCCACATCAATCTATACTCCATACTCCATAATGCCAAAGCAAATAACAGGTTTTTAACATCTTTGCAAATTTATTAAAGATCCCTGGGCAAAAAAAAAAAAAAAAACTGCCTGTAGAGCTCAGAGACAGGATCGAATCAAACCACACATCTGGGGAAGAGTTCAGAATCAATTATGCTGCATTGAAGGTTCACAGAAGCATGTAGCCTCCATTACCCATAATGGAAGACGTTTGGAACAACCAGGACTCATCCCAGAGCTGGCCTCCTGGCCAAACTGAGCAACTGATGGAGAAGGGCTTTGGTTATTGTGGTGACCAAGAACCTGATCGTCACTCTAGTTGAGCTCCATGACCATATGTGGAGAGAGGAGAAACCTACAGAAGGACAAACATCACTGCAACACTCCACCAATCCAGTCTTTATGGCAGTGTGGCCAAACTCAATCCTCTCCTCAGTGAAGATATATGAAAACTCACTTTGAATTTGCAAAAAAGCACCTAAAGGACCCTCAGACTGTGAGAAACAAGAGTCTCTGGTCTGATGAACTTCAATTCTAAGCATCATGTTTGAAGGAAACCAGGTCCGCTCATCACCTGCAGAGTACCACCCCAAAAGTAAAGTGTGCTGGTAGCAGCCTCATGCTGAGGGGCCG